TTGATGATTTTTTCAGTCATGAAAATCAGCCTTACCCTCCATCCTTGTCCCAGGCAGGCAAGCTTCGAAATGGAACAAAGAGTGATCTTCAGCAATGCTTTGAGGAAATGGTACCGCCAAGCACACAGGCTCCAGAGGTTACACGCGTAATACTTGATGGGGCAGCAGTTGTTCAAATATTAAATCCTGGAACAGCGAAGACCTTCAGAAAATATGCTAAAGAGGTATTCATCCCATTTGTTCTCTCACAGTACAAATCTGCAACTCGAATTGACCTGGTGTGGGACCGCTACCTGACTGAAAGTCTGAATAGCATGACCCGAGAAAGGCGTGGAAAGGGAGTTCGTCGACGTGTGGGTACCTCAGTTGCAGTTCCCTGGCAGAGGCAGAATTTTCTTCGTGTCGACGAAACAAGACAGAACTTTTCAGTTTCCTGTCCACTGAAATAATCAAATCAGTTAAAAACCAGAGCAAGGAGTTAGTAGTCACACTGGAAATAGAGGTTTTGATTGCTCCACCACGCATGCACCTCGAATCACTTGCTCCATGCAGGCAAGAAGAGGCAGATGGCCGCATGTTCCTCCATGCAGCTGATGCGGCACAGAGAGGGAATGACAGGATCCTCATTAGAACCGTTGATACAGATGTTGTCGTACTTGCCGTGACAGCAACTCAGAGACTTTCTGTGAAGATATGGTTAGTCTTCGGAACAGGGAAGAGTTTGCGATTCATCTCTGCACATGATATAGCTACTGCTCTCAGCCCCGAGAAGTGTTAAGTTCTCCCCTTGTTTCATGCAGTGACAGGATGTGACACTGTGTCAGCATTTGCTGGGCCTGGTAAGCGAACTGCATGGGCTGTATGGGAGTCATTCCCAGAGCTGACAAGTGCACTATCTGAAGTCAACCATCAACAGACAGATATACTGGAGTCTAGTATGAGCACCATTGCAAGATTCATCATTCTGATGCTTGATCACGCAAGTACCTGCAATGACATTAAAGCAGCACGAAGGAAACCTGTTTGCAAAGAAAGGCAGACCTCTGCCTACATACCATGCTCTGGTGCAGCATGTTAGACATGCAGTGTACCAAAGATCCTTATGCTGGGGACAGGTATTACAAGCGCAACCTCAGCTCCCATGTCCAAGTGAGTGGGGTTGGAAAAAGACATCTGAAGGTCAGTTCAAACCGATTTGGACAACACTACCAGAAGCCGCAAAGATCTGCAATGAACTTATCCAGTGTGGATGCACAACAGGATGCACTGGTCGGTGCAGGTGTAAGAAGTCTGCACTTCCATGCACATCACTATGCTCTTGTGATGGGGAATGCAACAGAGACTAGCAAAGCCAGGAGATGATTAGCTGTGCTTTTTCAGCATCTGCTTGTGATATTGTCTTCTTGACAGGTCATTCCTCCCCATGTTTTGTGCCATGCTATGTTTATGGGCTATGTTTATGTCTCAATATCTCTAGTAGTTAAGGATATATCGAGCACAATAGCTTGTGGATAGCGGCCATCTTGGATTTCAAGATGGCAGCTACAAATTTCAAACATTTTTATGCCACCATTGGCTTCTTAGACCCATAAAATATGGGTATAGGCATTTCCACTGTCTCGATATCTCAACTAGTTATGGAAATATTCAACAAATCAGATGCACAATGGCAGCCATTTTGAAATCAAAGATGGCCACCATACGAGGTGCAAATTTCCGTTGGCCCCTGGACTAAAAATCTCTGTATTGTGTTACTCTAACCATATGACGAGTTTCATGCTTTTAAGGGAAAATGCACAATCGACCTCTTTTTTGGAGCTGAGCCGCCCACTAATAGGCCTAATTATGACAGAAATTACCAAATCAATATAAGAAATTATACCGTAAAAACTGGATAAAAACAGACTTCATGTTTTTTTCATGCATCTTCACAGAACACTTTATTGCACAGTGAGTTGAAACAAATAATACCGGGAATAAAAACTGTCAACAACCAAATAAGCACTGTTTCAGTTGAAAGAAAAAATTGCAGTTATATTTGCAATTGTTAAATGTGTGGAGAACATAGAGGGCCAAGTTTAAATTCCAACAATTTGCCAAATAACTGTGCTACTGAAATATAAGTCATAATTTATAATGGTATCAGGATTACGTGTATTTTCCAAACTTAAATCACAGGCTCACAGTGCTCCACTATTCAAGGAGATTTTAAGCTGCCAAAGAAATTAAATTTAAGTGGGTAAGATGCCAAAAAAATACAAATTGATACTAAAATAAACGACTGTGCCTGAAAAGTTGGGAAAATTTACAAATCGTTCCTAAAAACAAGATGCCAAAGAAATACAAATTGATACTAAAATAAACAATTGTACCTGAAAAGTTGGAAAAATTGACAAGTCGTTCCCCCCAAAACACACTTGTGACTTTCAAAGTTTACTTTTAGAGAATACTGTATCCAGTGAGTTGGCAAAATTTACAATTTGACGCATGTACTTGAAATCTCAAACAAAATGTACATGTATTATGTCCAACTTTCAACAACTCACTTCCCTGATAAGAGTGTCTCATACAGGTGACTGCAGGCCCAGAGGACTTGGCTTGGGCTCCGCTTCTGGTCATCAGTTCATCCCACAGCTGGAAAAGCCTACCATGCAGCCGCTGATATTTTTTCTTCTGGTGCTTGGTCAGCTTTTTCTTGCTTACCAGCCGAATCTGGACAGATACAAGCTGGGCTTGTATATCCCCAGTTATGTGGTCCGAGCAGCATTATTGAGAGCACGGCGCCACCCTTCAACATCATTGTTTGTCCTGATGGTCTGCCAGTATGCAGTCCAGCTGGCAGGACTCCAGATAGTGGACACTATCCATGTGAATTCCACATACTGAAAAACCTGTATTAACACAAAATATCACATACTTTCACAAAAGTTGCACGTACGTATTCATATGATGCAAGATATGGGGCCGAGAGAACACCCCCCCGCCTTTGTGTTGGTCATTGTTAATCGGAATCTCATGGAATTCTTTACAAACTTCTAGGGGGGATATATTGGGTAACAATAGTCTAGAGTATGTATAGGGATTGGACATGTGGGGGGATACCCATCGGCCCCATATTGTGCGCGGTATCTATGTATTCAATGAAATGTTGCATTGTGTTATAAACTTAACTCATAGTAGGGCTTCTTGTTGAAAAAAGGATATCAAATTTTTAAAAGATCAAGGCTTTTTTTTTATGAAGCTCTCTTTTCCACCAGTAAACACCTGTCATTGATGTGAGATTAGGAAAAGCTGGGTAAAAAGGGAATAAATATTGCTGATACTGTAGTTACAAGGTTACTTGCTGTCTTAACCACCTCATGCCGGGGCATTTTTCAATGTTGATGATGCTGGGCCGGCATTATCATCATTTTTCCTTTTTTCAAAATTCTTCAAAAATTCATTGTTTCATTTAACAGACGTTTATAGCCGCACAAAGTTATCTTTAGGCTCTACTCTAAGTTGACAGGTGACCTTCATTGATGCCCGAGTATTTCAGCCACGCCTGCAGCCTTGTAAAAAGAGGCCAGATTGTGCGGTGTTATGTAACTTTCTTTTGTTCACAACCTGGCTCAGTGCACTGCTGACCTCTTTTCAATAGGGGCCAGATTAGCTTGCAGCGGTGCTGTGTGGCTCATCGCTGCGGTGGTGGAGCGCTTTGTCCCCGGTGGTAATCCGCTCGCTGTAAATGTCCCAAACCCTGGTATACGGTTTCAAAACAAGGATGGATTATCACCACTTTTGTGAGTGAAAAATGTCAGCAGCCTGGTCTTTGTTCGGAGTACGGTCTTTCGTTAAAGGGCCCTGTTTCCTTTGTCCGAGTTCAGAGACCCCGGCCACGCATATAAAGCATACGTCTCCGATTCCGGAGTCCCCAGCTGGAAGTGGTTAAGCTTCTCACTGCTCCTCTACCTAGAGGCATGTTGCCTGCACCTGTCGCCATACTGCCTGCTTCCATTGAAACACACACCCGTGTAGTGTAACGTGAGGAAACACCTCGGATAGTGCACGCCAGCAGGCCTCTTCGAAATCAAGTAGGCACTGTTACACCTGCATATTCTAAAAAGGAAAAAATCAATTTCATGAAAAGATTAACTAAGCAGTGGAGGTACGGACACAGCATATGCCAAGAAGTGTTGAATTTTGCACACTGCAGTTTAAATTTTCAAAAACAGCAAGTTGAAAAGCTAATAGTCAAACAATTAAGTTTTCATGTCCATGACATAATATTTCAAGTACACCCTGCACTAATTAAAAAGATTGCTGTATTCCAACACCTGGATAAAAATGTTATTCAGGTGGCAAACATCCTGCACTTTTTGAGTAAACTTCGCAGTATTCTTACCCCATCCTCATCTTCCACATACTCCCGTACAGCCTCAAAGACTTTCTTGTAGTCCTTCTTCCTCCTCGAACTCATCAGAATGAAGCACAGGTACCTGTTTGATGTTGCCATAACACTTGACAAAAGCATGTATTGAAAACAACTGAGTGAATGGCTTCTTAACCACCTTGAACGTGCCATCGACATGCCATCTTGTGGCTGCTGCTAGGACCCTCAGCTGATGAGCCGTGGCAAAGAGGAGATGTCGTTGATTGCCATGTCTGATGTCTCTCCATCTTGGAACTGTTAAAAAACTGTCTTTCCAAACTGTTACCATTGCTTGCAACACGAAGGCATAACATAAGATAACTTAAAGTGTGAATTACCATCTGGAGGAAAGTTCTCATTGACTTCGAACTCCAGATCTGCAGGATCTTTCAACCTCATACACTGTCTCTTCCGGTTTGCCTGGCGGGACAACAGGTCAGGCTTCAGCAGACCTGGTAGGGGTTGATCACCGACTACTTGAGTGAGTGTCTCAATAACGACTGCAGGGGCTGGGCTGAAGACGTCCTCTGCAGCCATGGTCTTGACATCGACGATCAAACTGGCGATCACATCATCTCCTGGCCTTCCTGGATGCTCATGGTTGTTTGGTCCCCGCTGAAAGTTGGATCCTTGTTGAACAACACTGGCGCCACAGTTCAAAGTGATATTGCGAACCGCGCATCTGCACAAATGGTAAAAAAAGTTTCCAAAGAAACAAAAGAAAAAACAAACCGTAGTGTAAGTTGAACTGCAGTGTAACATTGAACCAAGATGCTGTTGCTGCTCCTCATAATAATTGCCAACCATGTTTTATTTGAGACAACCTAATAACACGATGTGGAATACGCCTCATGCATGTACCTCTAGAAGACCTTCTCTCTGGACTCGGTCTTCAGGGTGTAAATGTATCCGAAAGAGTCAATTAGGATGGCCTCGCTGCGATGATGAGCCAATTATTCAATAATTGATGCCTTCAGGTTCAGCATCGAGTGACATGTCACTTATAAATCCTCTATCAAGTGACTCCTCTAACAAAGGAGCGACTGCTCTTGATGATCAATGGACTGCATGGACACATCTGCTGGATGCGAGCCCTTCAAATGAAAAAGTCGTGAATAGCATCGTTTTGTTCATCTGTTTGCAAAGTGTGAGAAAAAACAAAAACATTCCAATAACATACCTACTGTTATAAAAAAAAAATGTGAAGATTGAAAATTTGTGTATTCGGTTATGCCCATCTCTTGTGATTTTGCCTGGAACATTTTCCTACACAATCTGGCTGGCTCTCCTTGTTTGTAGATTTAAAGTAATTTTACACCAGAGATTGCTACTACCGTAAACAAAACCTTAATAACAAAAGGAGGTCAGCATTTACCGCCTGCCTAGTGCTCTCATTGTCACTTCCTACTTCCAGTGGATCCAACTCCATCGCCTTTTCCTGCTCCTCATCATCTGCATCAGTTACCTGCAATTTATATGATTGTCAATTTAAAAGTGTTATGTTAAGGTAAAGATGATCAAGAAAGCTCATCCTTTTGAGCACACTTGCTGTTTCTGTTTTTAAAACATACAACTTACACAGAGATCACTACGCCTCACTATGTTCCAAGATGGTATTAATCTTATGATGACAAAGCAAACAGGATCTCATGCAATGGAAACGTAATGGAATGCTGGACTTTATTTGCACGTTGCATTTCCCAATATTGTTGGCCCCCAATATAACTCTTACCCCTGCACACTGCTTGCATCACTGTGGTAGTGATCAGAATGTGGTGTACTTGTTGCTACAGGATCCAACTTCATCACGTCTGCCAGCTCATCAACTTGCTCCTCATCATCAATTACCTACAACATACGTGTATGTCAATGAAAGTCAGTAAGTGTTGCATGCCAGACAGATAAGCAAGCATGCCAAGAGAGAACATATGCCTGGAGTACCCTCAATGTAAAATTCCAATATGGACTACTTCATGTCAAGCCTGAGTTCAAGAATATGTTAAAAAAATGGTCGGTTGAAAAAATTTGAGTTCCTGCCTGATGACCTTGCAGGGAATACTATATACAAAACTTCAATTTCATCAACACTTACAGGGCTTCTAGCACTCATTCTACCCCAGTGTGGGCATGTCTGCTGCACATGTAACACACGTCCATGAAAAGCTGTTGCCACTTCTCATTGCCTCTTTGCAGAAGACCAAGGTGATTCCTAGTCCGAGAGAAAAGAATGACACAAAAATACAATAATGCCAACATAAACCTTTGCAAAATGATACAACAAAAGTAGTTCCTAATTCAGTCAAAGAGAAAAGTATACCCCGAAGGACGAGTAACAACATGGCAAGGTTACATGCATATGTACATGTAAAGTGCACTAGGTGATAAGAGCAAAGTGAACAAAAAAATTTGCAAGAATTTGGTAATGCCCACAGCAAAAGCAAGTGTTCAAGCCTAAAATAAACTTTCTATTGGCAAAAAGTACATTTCCCCTCCGAAATAGATAATCTTGTATTGTACATGTACTTTTCATCATGTTGGCGATTTGAATGTAATTTTAAGTGGGCTGAGGAAACCAAGTTGGCCTAAGCTTTTCACACTGGCAACATGTTTGAAAACTGCAGCTTGGGCTTTAAATTCATCTTAGAAGCAAAGTAATAAATCTCTAAGGCGATGTATTTTATAGAGATACTGTAGGTCTGAAATAATCCAGCTTTGAACAGATAGTAGTGCAACAAATTCCAAAGCAAGACGTGAGATTTGATCTTAACAAAGGCAAATTTATACTACATGGCAAGTACTTCACAGACTCCTCTAAGTTTTGCAATGAAATTTTCTGAAAGAAACTTGCCTGGGCAATGACGGTGCTGCCAGAGGTTACATCCCTCGCACTAAATGGCGTGCTGTCTCAAAGAGATTTCATCCCCGCATCTGATGCACGGGTACTGGGAGCACTTTACCTGCTTCTTCAACTTACTCGTGGCAACAGGCATTGTAGATACTGGAATGTCTCCTTACATCTGTTCCTTGCTCTATGCTTGTAACGACCGATAATGACTGAGCACTTCACCTCAATTTTATAGGGAATCATTCTTTGATGTTTGGGTTTACCAACTGCGTCTTGATTTGTAAACTCGCATGCCCGTAGTAGTGCTGGAGACCGCAGAAAATCAGACGTGTTGCAAGCATCACCGCCGTGCCAACTAAGTTCCTGATGCTGTCAGGCAAGCTTGTCAAGAGACATCAAGGATACCCAATCAAAAATTTATTCTCACATTTGGCCAGAGTTTCATAAACTGAGCAGGGTTCTCTCGAGGATTTTTCAAAACTGTGGGGGACTTCCATTGCCATTTACCAACATTTTGCAAAGCCATGGCGTTGGGTTCAAACCCCGCCCAAGGGCCCTGAAAATTTTTGGAATTTAGATACTCTCAGCATTTTACAGCATTTCCTGGGTTTTTCAAGTACCTTTTCTCACAAAAAAATTACAAAATTCAATATATTTTTTTAATTTTGGATATTAGCATTTTAATAAATGAACAGTTTTCCTTTCTGGACTACTAATTAGGCCTGTGGGCACAAAAGGAGTCATTTCAAGTTTCAGACATGCAACAACATGTAGTGGCTGTTTAATCAATGATATAAACACCCGTTTATTCAGTTTTAATTTTAATACATGTTTCAACCTTTCCATTTTGCTGATCAGACCTGAAAGCATGAGCTCCATTCAGTTGTAATGCAAAAACATTAGCTTGAAGGAATAAACAGATGTCATAAAAATATAAAATGATTTTGTCTGTATATAAACTAAACAACAAGGCTTTTCTTTTATATCGGCAAGAAAGAATACCTGCTGCAGATGGCTGCTTCGTTTGGGTTTCCCTCAGCGTGGACTGCTGAAGTTATTGCCTAAAAAAAGAGCCTATCTTTGACTGAGTTTCTACCACTGTGCGCAAGACAAAGCGCGGTGATATGGCAACGAGAAATATAGTCCCCTTTGTCAACAAAGTCAATATTGTTTCATCATATAGCAAGGAACAGAGGTTTCTTAAATGTGAATTGTCCCAAAGCACTTTTATTTTCTTTTCGAAATTTCCGTTCATTATGATGTACTTCAAAGATTGATGAGTTCAAAGGTGATTTACTTGTTCCTGTTTGGGCCTCCCAAGACATCATCTGCCAAACCCCAGCAGGGATAATATAGAGTACTCGACCTGTTGTTCCAAGCTGGGTCTGTCCTACTTAACGAATCTATAGGCTAAACTTTTTCACAGTTGTCTTTGTAGCCAAATGTATCTACATGTATAACAAATTCGACGTTGAATCAGAAAGCTATATCAATCTCAATTCTAGACACATTGATGATGTTAAATTTATTCATCATTATTCATAGCTTTCATAGCTTTTCACGAGTCATCTGCCAAACCCCAGCAGGGATAATATAGAGTACTCGACCTGTTGTTCCAAGCTGGGTCTGTCCTACTTAACGAATCTATAGGCTAAACTTTTTCACAGTTGTCTTTGTAGCCAAATGTATCTACATGTATAACAAATTCGACGTTGAATCAGAAAGCTATATCAATCTCAATTCTAGACACATTGATGATGTTAAATTTATTCATCATTATTCATAGCTTTCATAGCTTTTCACGAGTCACTTTTTGTCAGATTCCCTCATTTGTGGGATACCCCGCCCGCAGACGTTGTAGATGGCCTGATCTTTGGTCTCAACACTTTCATTTTCAAACTGAGGCTACACTGGCTGACTCCTGGTGTGAACTACTTGCCACCTTGAGCCTTTACACAGACAGGATTTTGATTAACTTTTTTCCTGAATCCTGTTGTATTTCTTTATCTCTTGTGAAATGAAATAAAAACACACACCTTCCTGATATTCTAACTTGAGTCATCCTCTTCGATTGTAACTTTCCTGCTCGAGAACAATAGATTATCTGTGAAGACATGCAGGAGAAATGCATGTACACAGAAATACATTTCTACACAATGTACATGTACTTCAACAGAGTCATCACAACATTCTGAGTCATCAGAATTTTTTTACAAAATCAATTTGAATAGGTGTCTTATTGCCACGATATACCCACATGCAAATGTAACTATAGCTTGGAACTTTGTTGGCATCTCAAACAAGTTTTAATTACCTGTGGATCCACATGAACACGCTTGACTGACCCAATCCATTGTCAAAGGGCCAGAGCGCTTTGGTGCTTCACACAGACGCTAGCTTGCCCCAATCCAAAGATTTTTTCTCAGAAGTCGGCATTCTTTTGCCCCAGATCCCTACCCTCTGTAATTGAGAAGACCAAGCATACTACAACGCCATTTGAATGCACTGGGTTTTTGCTTTTCATCAACCACAGGTCTATTTAGAGCACACTGCAAATTAATGTAGTGATTGTTGTAAATCAACAAGTCAAGCGTGTCCTCAATGCACGGCGTCACAGTCGTCGCCTGTGTGACACGGCAGTCTTGAATGCAGTGTAGAACAGTAAGGATGTGTCGTTCTTCAGTGTGACTGCGTATAGGCTGCCGCCAAGACTCGCAGCCGTATGCTGCAACCACTACATTGGCGACGAGGGTAAATTCGTGGCGTACAGGATTCGGTAATTATGAATAGAAAATTTCCAAGCTAAAGCCAACTTCTAATATTCTCGGAGTTTGTTGAGAACTCACCACAGTATTATCGTGTGTATGGGTTGTGACACAGCATTTCCCGGGTATTGTCTATGTGATTTTGTGCGCCACATTATTGCAGCGTATGATAGTTCTAATTCATTGAAAACTGCTCTCCCAAGTCTGTTTTGAAACTCATATTCATAAATCACAAGAGGAGTCAACTCCCTACACACATAAAAAAAAAGTTCCGCTGTTAATCCGCTGGTTACGCTTTCCAGCGCGCAATGACCTTAATCCTCAAAGGGCAAGCCCTAACGGAAGCGATGGTGTATTTGGATGACATCATAATTTTGGGGAAGAACTTTGAAGATTCACTGAAAAATCTAATAACGATCCTTGAAAAATTCTGTAAGCATGACCTCAAATTGAAAGCGAAGAAACGCAACTTGTTTCAACGAGAAGTACTCTTTCTGGCTAAGGTAGTTAGTAATCGCAGAATTGCGCCAAATCCAGACAGCGTATCTGCTGTCCACCAGTGGCCAATTCCCAAAACTCGTAGACAAGTGCAACAGTTCCCAGGCCTTAATTATCATCGAGCACACATTAAAGATGTAGCCCAATAAATGCAACCCCTGTTTGAACTCGCCCAGAAAAATACACCATTTGTTTGGCAAGATAAACATCAACAAACATTTCAGAATCTGAAAACTGCCTTGATGTCATCCCAAGTATTGTCGTTTCTGCAAAATAATGGGGAACCATTCATACTAGATACCGATGTGTCAGACACGGCGATTGGAGCAGAACTGATTCAATTACAAGATAGGGAAGAGAAAGTCATTAGCTATGCTAGCTATACATTATCCCCATCACACCTTAGATACTGTACAACCAGAAAAGAACTCCTTGCTGTGGTACACTGTACCCGCCAGTTTCGCCACTACTTACTCGGGAGGAAATTCTTTATTAGGACAGACCACAGCAGCCTAGCATCGCTGATGAAATGCAAACATTTATCAGGGGTTCTCACAAGATGGATGGAGGAACTTGCCCAATAAGACATCATCCATAGGAAGGGAAACAAACATGCAAACGCAGATGCATTGTCAAGGATACCTAGTAGAATGCCTACGATGTGGTGGCTGTAAGTTTTGCACACGGGTTCATTCCCATTTGGAAAGGTTTGAAAATGATGTAGATGACATTTTTCCCTTAGCAGTTTGCCAAATTGAAACTCAGAACAGGCCGAGCGACGATACAAAATATCAGAGTAAGGCAGTCCACCCTTCCGACCGGTGTTTGCTGGACGATAGGGAAACCTAACTCTTCACTAACTATACTCATCCACAGCTTAGACAGGCACAGATGCTAGATCCAGATCTTGGAGTCATTCTGAAATGGATGGAGAAATCATCCCCTCCCCAACCAAATGAACTCCACGTTTGTTCTCCGACTGTAAAATATTTGTGGTCTTATCTGCCTCTCTCATGAGTGATGGATTGAGTCCTGTACATGACTGGGCGTGAGATTCATTCATCTAAGCTACTTCTCGTAATTCCAACCAAACTTAAACAAGAAGAGATGAGCCTCTGTCATGATGCAAAACTAGCTGGCCACCCTGGAATAATTAAGACGGTGCATGAAATTAGGCAGTCTGCTTTCTGGTATGGTATGGGCAAAGATGTTTAATTTTTGTCAAATCTTGCAAAAGAGTGCAACATATTCAAGAAGCCATGCAAGAAAGCAAAGGCACCAATGGCCTTGTATCATGCAGGAGCCAAAGTCGAGCGTTTATACGTGTACCTTGATATTCTGGGGCCATTTGTTCCTTCACAGGCAGGCAATAAATATATTCTGATGCTAGTCTGTCAATTCACGAAATGGGTCGAAGCATATCCCCTCCAAGATCAGAAAGCAGACAGGGTGGCTAGAACCGTAATAGATAACTTTATTTCACACTTTGGATGCCCATTACAAATTCCCACCGATCAGGGTAGTACTTTTACAAGTGCCCTTTTTCGTGCAGTCAGTGAAATATTGGACATTACACAAACTCGCACTACTCCATACCATCCGAGTTCAAATGGGCAAGTTGAAAGGTACAATTGATCTATTCTAAAAGATGTTACCTCAAAGGCAAAAACTTAAATTGGGACAAAGATCATCCAATCCTAACTGGAGCAATACGCGCCTTGCCCAATTGCACAACTGGTCTTACACTACACTTAATGATGCTAGGCAGGGGAGTCAAGCAGCCCCTTGCTCTCGTCTTTGAAATGAAAAATACTGGAAATGCGGAAGCAAGTGATCCCCATGAGTTTGTCACAGAATTGAGAAATAGGTTATCAGAGGTTCACACACTCGCAAGAAAGGTAATTGGAGGTTCACAGCAATACCAGAAGAAATACTCCGACTACACCAAAAATCAGAAAACCTTTGAAGAAGGGGATGTTGTCTATAAATTAAACGAATCGACAAAGTCAGGTCAATCGAGTAAATTACAGCCAATCTGGCAAGGCCCATTTCTTGTCTCTGAAGTACTCTCTCCCATTTTGCATCAAATTCAGGGCAAGAAGGGAGACTTAGTAGTGCATCATGATCTTATGAAAAAAATGAAGATAGGGCACTGCCATTTTGATTTTGAAGAAAACGTTAACAACTGCTGGGGGAGAATGACCCTAAGCTGCCAGAAAGCACAGAAGTGGATGGTCAAGAAATTAAGTCCCTGTTTGAACCTGATCCAGATTCCCGAGTGGGACGAAGTGTCCTCACTAAAAGTGGCAGGAAAACCAAGGTTCCAGCTCGTTTTGCTGATACAGTAATATATTAGGGGAAAGTGTTTGTTGCCTGCCGTCAGTTGAGCAATGAAGCTTCACCAGTAAATCTTAATTACTAAGTGTACATAGGATAATATAAAACGTTTAATAGAATTGAACCCTTTGATGAAGATTTTAGTGTCCGGCGACAGTTGGACAAACCACCCACCAGTTGGTGTAAGAAGATCCATCAATTATGGGATTGTGATGCATCAATTATGGGATTGTGATGCATATGTATACCATACTGCTGTGTGCATTTTTGGTTTTTTTTTTAAAGATGTACCATGAATAAATATCGAATTAAACAAAACCTATTATACCACAAGTTGTACAGATCCAAAATACAATGGAGGAAGCATATTTTGTTCCAGATTACGGTCCGTCATCAGATGAACAAGAACAACAACACGACGTGGAAGATAACCCCATCACTGACATTGACCAAAACATCCTCGGCGTGAAAGGTGACCCAACCTATGATGTCCAACACATCGCCACCCAAGACAACGGATTAACAGCCACAGGAGCAACATCGTCAATGCACAACATCGTCCACACTGGTCCTCCCAACCCTGAATTTAGCCAGAACACTGTCCGAGGCAACACACCACCACTATTCAACAGTCACGCCAGTGGGAAGTCCCAACGTAAACAGCTGTGCCCTGTGCCAGGATGTTCTCTCCATAGTTCACCAAGATGAAGCATATGTTCCGACAGATGGTGGTTCCTCTACCTGTTGACGAGTTGTTGGACCTGTAAAAGATGGGAGATTGCCGTCCATGTGAGAGAGCATGGCCCATTTCAGAAGGATGAGCACACTGGTCAGCTCAATAATCTGGTATATGAGTTCCTACATTTTATTGCAGCCCAACTTGAATTGGAATCTCCACGCTGTCTTCCACACTTTGTAATAAAAAACAACCTGGGTGACGGAAATTCATCATTCCGTTCAGAATAGGCTCATGTTTGGGATGCATATGATAAACATCAAGGCCTTCCCCCTCTGCTGGAGAGGAACCTGCCATTCCCATCAAGAATCTCTTCAGTTTTTCATTGGAGGACTCTTCAGCGTTTACTTTCATTAGGCACCGCATCTAGACCAGACTGCATCTTCCTCACACCGACATCAGACTTCCTACTCGATGCGACGCCGCGAACCGAAATAGAGTTCCCACTTCACCCATCGAAGCAAACTCCCCAGTTCACTACCTCACCTGCTCCAGCTGCACCCGAGACGGAGTCCCTACTTCCTCTATCAAAACCAGATTCCCCATTTGATTTCATAGATTTGCATTGCCATGTAGACCGTCTCCTCCACAAAGCACAAAGGATGGGTAACCTCACAGATTTCCTACTTGACGAGGAGATTAATACAGTAAACTTCCGGGGTTGCATTGCCAATTTTTGCGATGAAAATACACTAGCAGATGAAAAGCGTTGGGAAGAGTTGATCAATGATAAATTTGTGTTTCCTGCGGTCAGTCTCCACCCGCGACATACTCACCACTTCACCCTTGATACTATCCGAGTGATCCGGTATTTGTTGGGTCACCCGAAAACATGTGCCCTGGGAGAAGTTGGCCTTGATTACTCTAGGGGGCAAGGGAAGTTTAAAGTTGTTCAAGAGTCTGTCCTCCAACGTCTTTTAGGGGTGGCTATTGAGTTTCAAAAGCCAGTGGTTCTGCATTGCCGAGACGTTGATGAGGAAAGCAAAGATGCCGAAGATGATTGTCTCCAAATCGTCTCAGAAGTCCTCCCTCCCCATTGGAAAATCCACCCGCACTGTCACACCAATAGCTGGAAGAGGGCCAGAAACTGGTGCAGACGTTTTCCGAACCTGTGCATCGGACTCACTCCTATCGTCCAGTGGGATGCACCGGGGCCAAAGGAGGTGGCAAGGAGAATTCCTCTAGGATGCCTTCTTCTGGAAACAAATGCCCCCTTCTTCAAGCCAAGGTGGTCCCCTCGCACTGTGGAGTTCAGCAACTCAACGGATGCAAAACTAGTCGCCCACGAGATCGCTCGCATCATCAGAATACAGGTGGAAGATGTCTTGAGGGAGTGTCTTCAGAACACTACACGGATCTACGCTATTAGCATGTAGACACACAGACCAGGATTACTTTAACTTTTTGAACAAATTGTTTGTGATCTGCACTAAAGATTAAGGATTTATTTTCATAGTTTTTCATAACTATTTCGAAATAAAACTGGACACAAATTTAATTGCTAATACATGTACGTTTACCTTTCGAGTAGGGCTGACAACTTAAGAGATCACCATCGTTTAAGTAACGTGACAACTATAAATGTATTTAATGTCATATGAAAAGAAGCAAAGGAGAAATGTAATTAAGAGTCTTTCTATATATATTGGTGGGATCGCCATTACTGAAGAAATGCAACGACTATATTTGTTTAGTATCGCGTGAGAAGTAACTATTCATTTGGTGGAGGGTAATTATTTTAGGTAGTTTGGGAACTACACCGAGACCCCTACGACTTCATTTTTGTGGAGGGTAATCGTTTTGGCTAATAGTTCAGAAATTACACTGAAGTCCCTAAAACTACATGATAGGGAGGAGTGTAGTGATTGTTGTAAATAAACCAATCAAGCGTGTCCACAATGCACGGCGTCACAGTCCTCGCCGCCTGTGTGACGCGGCAGTCTTGAATGCAGTGTAGAACAGTGAGGACGTGTCATTCTTCAGTGTGACTGCGTATTAGGCCGCCACCAAGACTCGTAGTCGTATGCAGCAACCACTACATTAATGATGCATTGAAAGACTCAACTTTTTCAGAAAGACACTGTAATTCTTTGCAAAGAGGTCTCTGTTTAGTTTTAGATTTTGAACCTTATTTTAACGGAATTGGTGTATCAAAATAAGAAAATAAATTGTCGACTGACAAAAAGGATTATCTTGAAATGTAGATTATGTGTAATTCAGTTGTTTGTTTTTACCTTCATTAAATATAATTTTTGGTCTTCACTTTTATTACATTCGGTAATAAACGAAACTGGGGGAGAATGAGACGCAACATCATTTGAGGGGAAACCTTTAATGGTTTATACATCAAATTATCAAGACTCGCAAATCCGAATTGCATGTATACATGATTTACATTAGTTATGAAGTACACATAATGAACGTAACAAACAGGAAAGAAGATACAGTAGAAAAGACACATTTAAAACAATACAAAATTACTAAGTAACAAATGAAAATTGATAATTTCTTCAATCTGATACCTTGAAAAGCGAAGACAGAAGTCTTCCTCCCTGATTCTTTCAAAATGCAAACAGAAATCTTATTTCGACCCTGAGCTTGAAGTCCAACCACATTGCGGACGTTGCCGACGTCATCGGACATCTTGTGTAGTTGTGGAGGAAGTGACCCGACCTGGGACCGAACTGACTTTGGGTCGAGTTGACTTGGGACCGAGTTGACTTGGGACCGAGTTGACTGGTACCCGTTTAGGGGAAGATTTGCTTGAAATTTAAAGCAAACGCTAACCTGTGTTTCCTCCAAAGCGTTAGCGGTAAAAAAAAAAGCCCAGCGGCCAATCTAATAGTGTAGCGGCAATTCAGTAAAGCGTAGCGGTGCCGCTAGGCTTTATTTTTTACCACTACGCTTTAAACTTGAGCGCTACGCTTAAAATGTTGTCGTTAAGTTACCTTTAACACTTGCTACAAAAATATTTAATGATCCAAACACAACACTGTAACTGACGGCCGCGCAGTATGGGCGGCCAGCTGGACACACACCCATGCACGTACATGTGCATGTACACGTACATTAACTGAACATGGTGCATAGCTCTTTTGGAAAAGCAAAAGCGAGCGAATTTTGTGATGTAAACAATAGACACGAAACAGGTCTTCTAGTGTTACACGGATGAATTCGTTTCGCACCATGCTTCAGGCTCAATTTCACACAAAGTACAATTGGCCTAAACTCGACTTGGATGAAGTCTTAACATTGTTGATGTGCCAGACAATATATCACAAATATCCGCTGCAGTATACCAACGATGCATGCTGTCCCATGTCAAGATACCTAAACTGCTGCCAAAGTTTTGGAAGAGCCCATTGGTACATGTGGATCTTATCGCTCAGTCCGTGTATTACATATGTCTTGACATGGAACAGCCATCGAGACGATGAGGGGTCAAGTGACGTAATACTCAACGACCTTATTTTAAAGATGGGGACTGAGAGAACGAGCCCGTTAGATTGAATGGATATGGATAAAGGCAAAAAACTGGAAAATACATGTACCTGAATAACGTGAGTGAAATCATTCAGTTAATGGTTTATAGAAAGCGGAAAGGTCAAGAATCATGTTCGTGTGCAAAAGAAATTGCGCCCACGATGATAAATGGGTGCGCTGCAATGTTCAATACACCGACACAAAATTGCGTATACGGATGTGTGGCTAAGGATGGATCGGGAGTGAGAGTCCGTGCCACACTAGTGGGGATATCTGACATCCCACTATTTGGACTAGGCCTATGAGCATGATCACTAAGGTCCGGGAGTTTTTTGCTATCAAGAGGATTTGAAAAACAGTCCTCTACTTGCACCACCAGTCAACCGACAAATGAACCAAAATTAATGATTGGTCTCGTTCTTATGTCTGCTCATAATCCAACTCTCGGACATAAAAGGCCAGATTTCACATACTCCAACCAGGAGTTATTGCAAGTCACCAGAGACGAAGTGTCACTAAACAAGTTAATGACGCTCCTGGGGTTGGGTCCGAGTTGACTCAGGTGGGTCCCAGTTGGTCGTAGGTCCGGGTTAGTATTGGGTCCGAGTTGGTTTGGGTCCGAGTTGACTCGAAACCATTCAGCCTACAATTTAAATTCGTGATTGTCACTCACCATTCATTCGTAGGCCTATAACTCGATGTAACAGTACACTATCTGCCAAAATCTCCCTCAGAACATGTACATGCATCCGAATCTCCCTCCTTCCTTCAATTCCCCGTCCTGATCCTACGAGAAAGAAGCTGTAGTACTAGAAAACATAAACAAATCAAAAACGTGCCCAGGAGGCGCGCTGTATGTTCACAGCGTCAGTACCAAAGTGCACATGCGCACTTTTTGCGCTTAACAACAGCATAGCAACAGGCTGTGTTTGATATCGCCCTCTCTTAGGCTGCATCCGAATCTATTGTCTAGAGCTAGGTCTAGGTCTTCGCTCCATTGGAAATGTGTGGAGACGCGGAGACAATAGACCTAGCCGTAGCTCTGGAACCCCGTTTCGGACAAGGCCCCATCTTAGCTCTGACTAAGATCCGAATTCTACGGAAGCGTATATAGGACATGATTGAAAAAAATTTCTGCCATGTATTTCGCCCGGGCGGATTACTATTTCGCCCGGGCGAATTACTATTTCGTCCGGGCGGATTACTATTTCGTCCGGGCGGATTACTTTTTCGCCAAGCGGATCATTTATTTCGCACAGAGCTGATTAGTATCCCAGGAGACTTGGTGTATATAATTGCTCACTCTTTGCAGGGATGGATCATCCCCCACGTTTTCGTAAAAAGAAAGATTTTTGAGTACTTTCTTCATTTAAAATCATTTCAATTGCAAAGTTTTTCATGAAGTGTGCCCAGAATTTGCTTTTCGGGGGGGGGGGATTCGAGTTGGTTTTTTTTCTACAAATTGCAGTCCATTTTTCTTTGGTCTGTCCCCCGCCCCAAAAATAAGGTTTCCGCCCACTCCACATTTTTCTCTCTATAGCATCACGTTTCATTTTTCACGCTTTGGGTCTTCCCGACTTTTATTGAGTAACTCATTAGTCATTTTTCACCTATTTTTTGAGAATCGAACCTGCTGTTTCGCGTTGTGTTCATTTTCCCGAAGCATCCAAAAACCGATTGTAGGTCAACTCGCCCCCTGGCCGCTTCGCCCTTTACCAGCTCGCTCCTTACCAACTCGCCCCCTGACCGACTTGCCCCCCCCAGCTAGCTCGCCCCTAGCCAACTCGCCCATTACCGACTCGCCCCCTAGACCGACCCGACTCGCCTCCTGACCGACTCGTCCCCAAGCCAACTCACCCCCTAACTTTGCCAAGCACGTATGGCCGGCCTATTCACCATTTAATAAAAAATGCAATCAGTCAGAGATGGAATCGGTGATTGCTGCCCTTAAAAATAGTTTCTTGGTTTTGCGGCGGGCACTCAAAGTTGAGTTTGTTTAAAGCTTGGTGGATATTCCCTTTCTGTGGAATTTGGGGGTAACAATTTTTTTTTTGATATTGGTAAAACTAATTCGGTATTATCGTGTGTATGGGCCATGGCGCAACGTTTCCTGAGTATTGTCTATGGGATTTTGTGCGCCACAATACGAACACTCTACCATATTAATTAACTTTGCGGACTATTTCGGATTAAAAAATGGTACATATTAGGCATAATGCCCGGCGACGCAAACCTACGGAAGTGTTAAGGAGACACGATTTATGACAAAGGGTGTAACGGTCGCTACACACTTTCAGGTCCCGATAACTTCACAGGATGCCTATATTAGTTCACAATTAACACTAAATACTGATTTATTCGGCGAGTACAGTCATAAAGGATCACATTGTTGATCGGCCATATTAAATTATACTCCAGCATGCACTGTCGGTGTCATGACGTCATGGAAAACCGGTCATGTCATCCGGTGCCCGTTACTTGTAAACAAATTAAGAGCATTCTCAAAGATATTCAATTCCAAAAAAGGAATAAAAATTACGCAATTAAAAAAAATTAATAATGGGGCGTTACCACTATGACTTCATACATCACACAAAAAGCATATATCCAAGAACTTAAATCAATTTTCGCAGTATGTGTGAGGTCCCAGTCGAGTGAATGAGCAACAGAACACTATAACTAACTAACTACAAGAAGATACAGTCACATACCCAAATATTAATGGGATGTAGGGTTTGAAGTTGTTGATCCTGAGGTTATGTTGCATGTACAAATAACCTAATCAGACAGTGGACGTAGGAAGCGTTTGAATAAATAATTGATTAGTGGTGACGTCCAGGTACCCAGGCCATCAACGTCCGTGAGTCGTTCGTGTCGCGTCGTTGGTTAGAAC